AAAAGTCAATACAAGTCACTCTCGAATAACGAGTGGAGTGTCTGTTGAAGAAAATACTGAAAATAAGTGCAAAAATTGGAGCCAAATATATCTAAAATCATATGAAATACAGTGAAAAATCCGAAATCGTTGTAAAAATATGTTTGAAATGTTTTCTACAAAATGTTGACTTTCTATACAAAAGTAGAGAATAAGAGAAAAAAATAAAAATAAATATAATGTTTGAGCAAAAGAGCTGACAGTAAGTTCTGGTGCTTCTGGAGAAAGACGTGAAGAGCGAAGGAAGGGAAGGATAGGGATGTATAGGGAATGGTAGGCAAGGGTAGGATAGTGTGATAGATGCGATCCATCACATCAACTGATGTTCAATTGAAAGCTTTCATTATATGAATGCCATTCCTTTTGCTCTTATATTTTACAATCGCATAGAGTTTGCGTCCATTTGTGTGACACTTATTCTGTTATTCTCTGCAATAGTTGTAACAGAAATCTGGAAAAACTTTCAATTTAGTGATCACTCATATATTGCAAATATGATAGACTTTCCACTATCTTATGTCTCTGTGTTGTTGACATGACTTTGTTTTTGGTCACAACTATTGATACAATCAAAGAGAAATGCTTTGCGTTGGAGAGCGCCTACACTTTACATGTCTTTCCGTTCACTAAACGCTCGGATTATTCGATTAGTTTTCCATCAAATTATAATAATCAATGCTTTTATTTTTGGAAATACTTTTAACTTAATTAATGATTAATCGATAATATTTTGTGTTATAAATTACATATTTGCGTTTAACTCATTAGACTGATTACATTTTATGTGACTCCATATTAATTAATGAATATTCATTAAATCAGATTATCTAAGAATATTAATAGTAGCAAATAGTTTATCAAAACAAAAATTATATTATGTGTTATTTTAAGAATATTGACAAAATAATTTTTCTACAAATATAATATTCTTTATTTTAATATTACAATAAAAGCCAATACTTGTAATGTTTTAGTTGTAAACGTTTTGACAAATTGAAGTGAAGATATCTTTATGGTGACCAATACACCACTACATCACATAAAGACATTCATTTTAATGTTTGGATACTTTGTTTTATTTGCTGAATCAGTGTTTAAACTAAAGATTTAATGTCATATTTGTGGCAATCTATATAATAAAACTTGGTTATTTGTATTAATTTAGTCAAACATTTACATAATTTTCTTATTTCTCTATTGATTATAGATTTTGGATTACAAATATTATAGTACATAATAATACAACTCCTTTCAATCGATATTAATAAATGCATACAAATGGAAGCGAAGCTAAAAGTCTAGTCTATTTGTTCACAAAAATTTCATATATAATCAATTATTCAGTGATAATCACATAAACAGATTCGGAATTAAACTAAATGTATATAAATAAAAATAAATCTGAATAATAACTACAAAACATACAACTGTGTGGAGAAATAATAGAGAAAAGGTGTTGCAATGCATAATATAGTCCGTAGACAACAGTCTCGGAGCGAACTTCCGATCGGAGAGAAACTGGAGTTAAGGGAACTGAAGGGTCGACTAGTGATGGAAAACGGGAGACCATTAAGTTATGGCACAACTAATGTCGCCTTTGAAGACGACGACGAAGAAAACACATCCATTGATAGCAATATATCTGTCAGTCTATTGTCTATCTCTATATTCTTTACACTCTTATTCACAAATGTCTTACAATTGTGTTCTTCATTTGATTCATTGATTCTTTTGTAACAAAATTCTTCTCCCGATATATAAAGGCGTCAAAAATAATGACCGCAGATATGGCGGAGGCGGACGAGAGGGCGCTTTTCAAAGACCCGGATGACGGACGCGAGTCATGGGACAGCAAATTGCAGTTCATGTTAGCAACCATTGGATACGCTGTGGGACTCGGAAATGTAAATTCTGGTCATTTTCTCATTACACCACTTGATTTGTAATCAATCAAAACAAATGCTCTTTTTATGCAACAAATCAAATGTTCATTTTTAGACACAAATAGAATTTCTTTTAAGTTTTGTTGATATGTTTGTAAGATTTCTATTCAAGCTATCAGTGAATCCATGTCTTTGCTCTCAAAATATTACAAAATTTATTTAATGTAAAAACAAATTAGAATTTTCTTAAATACAGTCTTTTATTTTAATAATACAGAGAATGTCTGATGCGATGACATTAATCCAAATAAAGTGCTATTTTTTGTTTTATAACTATAACTCTCTTTCTCTGAAAAACATAGTTTTCAATGAAAAATAGTTGCAAAAGTCATAAAAACACAGAAAAACAGAATCTAATCGATTGTCTCGACTCACGAATGAAGGGAAAATGGACTCGAATTTAATGAAACTTTTTTGTGAATTAGACAACAAATTTTAAGTACAAAAATAGTAATATAATAATAGAGTAGAGTTGGCGCTGGTTTTCATTATGTTTATGACAAATGTCTAGTTATATAAATCATGAAAAATCGATAGAAAATTGTGGATCTCGTTTTCAGATGAATGAGTCGATAATCTTAAGGAATTATCTTTAGTTATATAATACAAATGAAGGCAAGAAATACTGTAAATAACGCCAATAGTGTCACCAATTCTTCGGTGCATTAGAATCGCATTATTGGAGAGAAAGTATTCAATTGTTTAAACACTGGAACCGACGGTTCAACACATATACTGAAGAGTATATCATATATCAGTTGCCGATCGATATTGAATTAACTCAAAGAATTTCTTTTCACAATTCTTTCGTAATATTCTTTTGTTTAGTTATAAAACAAATCCATTAAATAGTATTTAACGTTATTATAAGGCTTGTAGTAGTTTATCAAAGATTGAGCTCAAATTGACACGTCTATGTGTTAAGACATTGAATATTTCACTCTTAAACTAAACAAATATTAATTATGTATTTATGGGAACAGGTCTGGAGATTCCCATATCTGGCACAGAAGAATGGCGGCGGTATTTCACATCATTTATTATTACAATCCACGAATTATACCAATTATTCTCACTTTAGGGGCATTTCTTATACCGTATTTTATTATGTTATGCGTCGAAGGGATACCTGTTTTCTACTTAGAGCTGGCAATTGGCCAGCGATTACGTAAGGGTGCGATCGGTGCCTGGAATCTGATATCAGTGTACGCGGGAGGTATAGGTCTGGCCAGTGCTGTCGTCTCGTTCAATGTGGCCCTCTATTACAACACAATCATCGCGTGGTGTATATTCTACTTCTACCATAGCTTCAAAAGCCCCCTTCCCTGGAGTGACTGTCCGCCCAAGAAGTTGATCAATGAGTCCTATGTTTCACAACCAGAATGTGAGGTCAGTTTCACCCAATTGACAACTATTACAACAATTGCTTTTATTTCTCTCATGTGTTTACTAAGCAATCATTATTTAAACATTTATTGTTTACTCATTTGTAATTCAATGTTTGATAAATTGATATTTTATTACAAATGAATTACTATTTTATTTACAATCGCTTGTAATTCTAGTGATTTGATGCTGTTTTGTATTCGGCCTTAACTTATAAGTAAATTTCAAACTTCATATAAAGGTACTAATCGTTTAGATTAACATTTTATGAATTAAAGCAGTAGTTTGCCAATAAATCAATGGACATATACCATGATTTAAACCAACATTATATGGAAATGACAACATATTTAGCAAACCTTTCAATACTTGTTTTATGCGCTTGTTTTAGACTCACTAATAGTATCGCGTGTTTATGGAAATTCTTTCACATTTGGCTGAGTGTCTAAAAAATAGCAATTTTTCATAATAAACTATACCTTATACTAGTATACAGAAAGGTTATGGCTATAAATAATATTCACTAACAGAACACTGAAATATATTATATAACATTAATTCATATATTCTTTCATGAATCGCGTATTAATAANCAAACAAAGTAAATATAGTTTTACAGATCTGTTGATCATTTCATTCAATTGTAAAAGTTGCTAATTTAATCAATGCTTAAAGTGTGAACATTTGCTGTGACATTAACTCTAATACCCAAAATACTATTGTTTGAAGTGTTGAGAGAGAGAGAGAGAGAGAGTCAAGTGAAACGAAAGGCTATAATGTTTTAGATATGGGTTTCAAATGACAACTCAGAAAACGATGGAAACAAAGCCATTCTCTACAGAATTATTGTCATTAAGTTTTGCTCACGTATTGCAGTATATATACAGTGAATGTCACTTTTGGTCCATTTCTAACGTTACAAATGAATGGATGACTTCAACGATAGATAATTTGCTATTATTTTTCATTTAATGTCAAAAATCAAAATGTTCACATATCATAGCCAAAATGTCATGAAATACGGAATTTTATTTTCGTTTTTTACAATTCTGGGTAAAACTAATCATTCATATTTGAAAATAAAAATAAT